AGAGAGCTCATGGGGGAATTTACAGAATGCCTGGAGTACAGGGAGGGGAGCCCCACTGCCCCTTTAGAGGCCTCAGGGTGACACCTGAAGGTCTTTAAAGGATGACTGTTGGGGCCAGCGTGTGCACAGTGGAATAAGCTGCTGCTTATACCAGCCTCCCAGCTTGAGTCCCGGCTGCTCCGCTTCCAGTCCAGCTTCCTGCTAATGTGCCTTGGAAGGCAGCAATGACAGCTCAAGCACTCGGGCCCCTGCCACCCATGTGGCACATGAGGATGGAGTTCCTGGCTCCTGGCTCTGGCCTGGCACAGACCCAGCTATTGTGGCCATTGGGGGAGTGACCAGTGGATGGAAGATGTCTCTCTTCCTCTACTACTCTGTCATTCTGCCTTTCAAATAAATTTTTTCAAAGGATGCTTATAATTTATTCAAAGGAGAAAAGCATTACAGAATAAAAGACCACATTTAGCAAAATTATATAGGCAGGACATTTGGGTCAGAATTTTCTCATTTTCCCCAAATACACGGTCTTCCTTTGAATGAAAACCTACAACTTTAAGGTGAGCACATGGTAAGCTGGAATAAACACTGTAAAAGTATTTCCCTGCCTCCCTTACCTCTTCAACTGCCCTTTTTCTGTTCTAATATTTATTTATTTGAAAAGCAGACTTACAGAGGCAGAGAGAGAGGTCTTCCATCCACTGGTTCACTCCCCAAATGTCTGCAATGGCCAGAGCTGGACCGATTCAAAGCCAGGAGCCTGGAGCTTCTTCCAGGTCCCCAACATGGGTGCAGGGGCCCAAGGACTTGAACCATCTTCTGCTTTCCCAGGCCATAAAAAAGAGCTGGATTGCCGGCGCCGTGGCTCAATAGGCTAATCCTCCACCTTGCGGCGCCGGCACACCGGGTTCTAGTCCCGGTTGGGGCGCCGGATTCTGTCCCGGTTGCCCCTCTTCCAGGCCAGCTCTCTGCTATGGCCAGGGAGTGCAGTGGAGGATGGCCCAGGTGCTTGGGCCCTGCACCCCATGGGAGACCAGGAAAAGCACCTGGCTCCTGGCTCCTGCCAGGATCAGCGCGGTGCGCCGGCTGCAGCGGCAGCCATTGGAGGGTGAACCAACGGCAAAAGGAAGACCTTTCTCTCTCTGTCTCTCTCTCACTGTCCACTCTGCCTGTCAAAAAAAAAAAAAAAAAAAAAAAAAAAAAGAGCTGGATTGGAAGTGGAACAGCCAGGACTCGAACTGGCATCCGTATGGGATGTCAACTGCTCCACTTCTAATCCAGCTCCCTGCTGATGGCGCTGGGAAAGCAGTGAAGATGGCCAAAATGCTTGGGCGCCTGCCCCCATGTGGGAGACCTGCAATAAGCTCCTGGCTTTGGCCTGGTTCAGTTGGCCATTGTGGCCATTTGGGGAGTGAACCAGCAGATGGAAGACCTCTCTCTCTGTCTCTGCCTCTCTGTAACTCTGCCTTTCAAATAAAATAAAATAAAATCTTTAAAAAAAAGCTGGAGAAGCCAGGAATCAAACCAACACCCATTGATGTTGGAGTCACAGGCAACAGCTACGCCACACACCAGCCCATCATTGAGATCTTTTAAAAAAAAAATAATGGTCATCACACCACACAGTCCCAATTCCTGTGGCCCAGCAGTTGGCCGGGGGGCTGACTCCCTTCTCAGGATGCCTTGATTTTATTCTTGACACATCAAGCGAAGAGTTCAGATCTCTCTACATCTGTATCACGAGGCAGAGGGAGAAAGTGAGACTCTGCAGTCTTGAAGCAGTCCAGGTGAGAGATCATTTAGTCAATCGATCAATATTTTGAGCGCTCGTGTGACAGGCACTGTTGTAGATGTTAGGAATGTAGCACAAGGCAAAACAAGTGACCCGCTACCAGTAAGCTGCTAGCAGAAGATGACACTGAATGAACAAGGTAATAACCAGCGTATGTTGGTATAGGAAAGAAAACACAGCGGCACCATAACGGCCGAGGGTCCCTGACAGGGCAGGCAAGTCGGGTGTGAGGCCTGAATGAGGGGCCAGCTGCACGCAGGCAGAGGGGGCAGCATCCGTGCGAGCCCTGAGGGGCAGACAGTGTGGTGAGACCCGGACAAGGTGAGGCAGTGGGCACGGGGAGAAGTAGCTGGACTCACGAACATTCACAAGCACAGACTGAATGTGGCCGCGGAAGGCTGAACCTCGGCACCTGCCAGACAGAAACGCTGCTTCCTAACCCTGGAACAGGGAGAGGAGCAGGTTCTGGAGCAGGCACTCCCCTGCTGCGGGCAGGACTCTTTCCATCTGTACAATAGGTTTATCAGAGACAACCAAGGTATCAGAGACAACCAAGGTTAGTGCTGGTGATAAAGGGTACTATGATCTTCACACCTCACTAACATCCAAATGACGGAAAGAATGCAAAATAAAACTCAGCTCTAAAATTAACAGACTAAACCATGGGAGTTTTTTTTAAGGATTTATTTATTATTTGAAGGGCAGAGGTTTTTCAATTTTTTGTTGTTGTTGTTGAGCGTGAGGGAGAGGCATCTTCCATCCACTGGCTCACTCCTCAAACAGCTGCAACAGCCAGTCCAAAGCCAGGAGCCAGGAGCTTCCTCCGGGTCTCCCACGTGGCTGGCAGGGGCCCAAGGACTTGGACCATCTTCCGCTACTCTCCCGGGCACATGAGCTGGGAACTGATTAGGAAGTAGAGCAGCCAGGACTCAAACCAGAACCCATATGGGATGCCGGTGTCACAGGTGGCGGCTTTACCCGCTACCCACAACACCAGCCCCAAGATTTCTTTTTTTAAAACTTCAGAGTGAGGAAGGACTTTCAAAGTATAACACAAAACTAGAATCAAAGAAAAGGGGTGTCTAAATTCAATTCCATAAGTAGCTAGTGTTTTTGCATAGCAAGACACACCCTAGAGAAAGGCATTTAGCATTTAGCCTAGGGGTTAAAACGCCCACATCCCACAGTAAGAATACCGGGCTTCAGTTTCTGGCTCTAGCTCCGGATTCCAGCTTCCTACCCAAGCAGCGCCTGGGAAGCAGTGGTGATGGCTCGAGTAACTGGGTGCCTGTCACCCACACGGAAGACCTGCACGGAGTCCCAGCTCCTAGCTTCACCCACGCCCCCACCACCTCTGATGCAGGCACTGGGGAGTGGGCACACAGATGGAAACTCTGTCTCTGTTTCACTGCCTCTCAAAGTAGGTTGAAAAGTCAAACAACAAATGAGAAATATTTGTCTTGGTAGACAGTTGATTTTCCCAATATACAGTGAGCTCTTCTGACTCAGTAAGAGAACAGGGAGGGCGCCCTGGCGCAGTGGTTAAGTCCCTGCTCGGGACACCTGCATTCCTGTGGGAACAGCTGCTTCCGGTGCACTGCAATCCAGCTCGCACCATGGGAGGCAGCAGACGATGGCCCTGCACCCCTGTGGGAGACTGGAACCGAGCTCTGAGCTCCTGGCTTCGGCATGGCCCAGCCCAGGCTGTTCAGGGTATTTGGAAAGTGAGCCAGCAGATGGAAGATCTCTCTCTGCCTTTCAAGTAAAAGGAAGACAAATAATTTTTTAACAAGAAAAATGGGCAAAGGATATAAACAGACACAGAGAGGAAAATATAATTTTATCTTAAACATATGAAGAGAGGCTCACTCCAATAAAAATAACTGCAAATTAAAAAAACTCAGAGATACTATTCTTCACCTACCAGTTTGACAAATAACAAAAAGTTTCCTAAGAGCGTGGACGAGGATACGGGGAAACAGGCACTCACAAAGAACTGAGCAATAGCGATCAAAACAACATATGTCCACACCCTGCGATTCAAATATCCTACTTCCAGGAACCCTACACATATTTAGTCATTCACTGCAGCTTGCAATTAAGACCAAGGTCCTCTGCTGGTGCAAGCAGCCAGTGTGTGTAAAATGCTATGAGCCTCACAGACAGGCCCGAGGACGCCCTGGTTGTACTCCTGTGGAATGACCTTTGGAATTTACTACGTACAGAACATATGCATCCTAGTATCTGCTTCATTTATATGGGTACACTAACTGATTATTTAGAGAAAATAAATGGCTAGAAAACAGCAAGGCAGAGTTCACGGCGAATCACTGACAGCTAGACGAAGGCCACCGCGAGCCCCACCCTATGCAATTCCATCACCTACCTGTCAGTCAAGCCGCCCCTTCAACTCCGCCCCGGGGAAGTCCGCTCTCTCACCTTTTAAATAAACTGCACCACTCTGCGCCTTCGCTAAGCAGAAGACAAGAGCCTGGATTAAAAGCAGACCCTACGTCTCCCGCTTTAATTTGAATCTCGAGTTATCCTTACAAAACAAGCCAAGAAGCAAAATCCTCCTGTGGCTCTAGGCACACTGCGTGGGCAGGGGATCAGTAATTACTGAGCTCCCAGGACATTCCAGACACCGTCCCAACCACTTCCACTCATGCTACCCGACTGGACCATCCTGCTAGTCCACCGAGACAGACACAGATCATTTAACAGGACAGAAAACAAACTCCATGGGGCGTAGCGGGTAAAGCCGCCGCCTGCAGTGCCGGCATCCCATAAGGGCGCCGGTTCTAGTCCCAGCTGCTCCACTTCCGATCCGGCTCTCTGCTATGACCTGGGAAAGCAGTAGAAGATCAACCAAGTCCTTGGGCCCCTGCACCCTCGTGGGAGACCCAGAAGAGGCTCCTGGCTTCGGATCGGCACAGCTCCGGCCGTTGCGGCCGGAGTGAATCAGCGGATGGAAGACCCTCTCTCTCTCTCTGCCGCTCTGTAACTCTGTCTTTCAAATAAATAAATCTTTAAAAAAAAGAAAGAAAACAAACTCCCCTGCTCAAGTAGTTTACCCAGTGTCACCGCCAGCCTAACTGCAAAGCTCTAGGCTTCTCCGTGTCTCCCCATCGCTTCCATGTAAACTAAGCGTCCAGTTTATAGTTTATTGGGCACTAACGAGGTGCCGGGAAGTACCAAGAGCTTAACGTACCTCTTCTCCCAAACGAGTAATCCTCACACAACTCAAAGAGGTGGGAATTCCTGTCCCCCTTTCACAGAGAAGATGGAGAAGCCTAGAAGATATCGCGCGAGACGAGCCCCAGGTCAAGACAATGTAAACATTTGGAAGCCAGGTTGAATTCCAAAGTTCCTGCTCTACAGCCGAAACCACTCCCGGTTCAAAGGACAAAGGCACGAACGCTCGCCGGGCGCCGGCAGGCAGGCGCATTTCCGGGGGGAGGGGCGAAGCCGGGGCATGCGGAAGGCGGCCACGGCGAGCTCGCGAGAAGACGTGCTGGGAAGCGGGTGGTCAGCGCCGCCTGTCGATCACCTGGTCCCGCCCCAACGCAGGCGCGCCCCCGGACGAGCCCCGCCCCCCAGCCTTGGTCGGGCGGGAAGCGAACGCGCGCTCCCTCCCGTTACCCTCCGCCTGAGGGAAGGGCGGGGGAAGCGGAGGCGCGCGCTCGCGAGCTGCGTGCCCGCGTACGTCGCCGGGGTTCGGCTGCGTCGGTCCCGCCGCCCGCCCGTTGCCGCCGCCGCCGTGCTCTTGCTTCGCCGGCCGCCGCCTAAGGGGGGCTGGGGCCGGGGCCAGCCGCCACCACCATTGCCGGGATGCCGCGGGTATACATCGGCCGCTTGAGCTACCAGGCCCGGGAGCGCGATGTGGAGCGCTTCTTTAAGGGCTACGGGAAGATCCTGGAGGTGGATCTAAAGAACGGGTGAGGAGGGCGAAAGAGGGGCCGGCCGGGTGGGGACCGGGCTCCGGAGGTGGCAGGGGGCCGCGCGGACGGGAGAGGGTCCCCAGCGCGGCGCCCAGCAGCTGCCGGCCTGGTCCGGCTCCGCCATGGTGGCGGCGCCTCGGGGGCGCGGGTAGGCCCCGGCTCCCACTGCGCCTGCGCGGGTGGGGGTGGTGGCGGGATAATGGGAGCGGTGGGGAGGCCCGGAGTGGGACCGCGAGAGGGAACCCCCGCGTGGGCTTGGAGCGGGCGGGAGGGCGCAGCTCCCGGGCGGCCGGAGGCCAGGCTCTGGGAGTGGGGCCTGGTTCGTCTCCGGCCGGAGACCGACCTTTCCCGCTCCGGGGGCTGCTGGAAATAAACAGGATTTCCTCCTCCTCTTCACCTCTTGCCCAGTCTGGTGGATCGGACGGTGCCAGGGCGTCTCTCCGGGACGGGAGCTCTGGAGGGAGGCCTCTTTTTTCCAGACTTGCCATGTGCCACACTTTTTTTGGGCGGGAGACTCCAGTTTGAGTAGTCTGGTTGACAGTTTCGAAAGTATGGTCTTGCCGCGCTGAGCGCTTTCGCCGTGCCCTCCCTATCTGAGGGTAAAGTCAACTTTTAGCTTGTTATCTGTCAGACTCCGAGCAGAGCTTCCATTCTGTAGTTTCCGCTCCCTAGCTTGCAAAAAAAAAAAAAAAAAAAAGGCTTTGCTTTTGTAGAATGTGTTGGAGAAGAGGGGCCACCCTGGCTAGTGTCTGCTGGTTGGTGCAGGGGGAGCCCCACGGCCTGCGATTGCTAACTTACTGCTGTCCCGGATATGGTCTGTTGGTTGTGTTCCTGAGCTACTTTGGCAGGGGGAAATGGGTGAGGAAGGAGGCCTGAAGGGGGACCGGGAAGTGTTAGGTAGGACTTGGAAAACGTGCACATAAAAACTGGGGGCAACATTTTAGGGCACTAAGCCTTGGGTGTTAGAAACACCCTTGGCTTTTAAAAAAAAGGTCCCTCTGCGTCGCAACAGGTCTGATGTGACTGCAGCTTGCTCCCCAGTGTGACATGAGCAGCTGGACTTGACAGGTCCTGAAAGCACGTGTCCTTAAGTTGTCTGGCTGTTAAAACTTGGCCATTGGAAAGGCTCACCTTGAGGAGAGCAGTGAAGAAGAACACTGCTGCAATGAACTGCTTATTGTGTCTACTGATTTCTTCTAGCATCAATTAAAAGGCTTAGAAAATTACTCATTTTGTATGATGGAACTTTCAGTTCTTAAGGAATGTGCTAGATAAGGGGGGGGGTGTTGTGATATGTATGTGAAAAAATTAGAACTCCCCCTTTTTCCAGAGCTTTCTGGAAGTTGACAGAACAGCTAACTTTTGTGGAGGAAATGTGGATCTGGAAGCCAGACAAGCCTGGGTCCGGCCTTGGCTGTGCTACATAAATACCTGTAGACAGGTTCTGTCTCTGAACCTGTTTTTGTCATGTACATGGAAAAGGAAGATGGGAGATAATAGCAGGAAGTGATAGCTACAATCGTTTAAAAAAAGTCATGAGGAGGCATCTTAGCTTACTGGTGTTTGATAACATAAGGCACGTGTGTTGAAGTTCCTTTTCTAAGATACTCCGTAATAGTAAGCAGGAAATGGTGTGGATGGGGGTGGGGGGAGGGGGCTGGTTAATCGATCCAGTGTGTTGATAACTCACCAACAAGATAGCCACTGCTGTGCAAATTAAATGGGGGGGGGGGGGACAGAAGAACAGTTCTGCTATCCAGTGAATTGTTAACAACATGCACTTTGGATTAAGGAATGATTGCTCTCTAAAATTTGGAATGGCTTACTTGAGAAGATGTGCTTGAGATGGACTTGAAGTCTGGAATGGATTGTCTAAGAAAGGAATTCAGAGGCTCTGGAAGGCAGGATTGAGCAACCCAGGAAATGGTGAGATAAAGAGGAGGGAGACTTCCAGGCCCTTTATACCGGGGTCTTTTTTTAGGAACTAAACCTGGATAGGCATGAAATCTGTCATTGAAAAGTCAAGGTTGAAATGAAGACTGGGGAGTCATGTCAGGGATTTGAAGCGATGATAATCACCAAATGGCACACAATATGACCTCCTGGGAACATTCAGGAATCATTGCAGAGGAAAATGACTTCTGAGAAGAGGACCAGTAGTAAGGATGTATTTCAACCAAGAAGAGACGGGTAGGTGGTCTGGAAGGAAGGAATAACTACAGAAGAAGACATTTTAGCTACATTTGTAAGCTTGTAGTCCCCAAACTGAGAAGTATAGCAAATCTCCCTGCTGAGAAGCGTCTTTGAACATAGCTGGATTGTGATTATTAGTCATTAAAACTCAAAAGCAGATTCTGAATGAATGGGACTTGTGGAATTGCCGAAGAGTTCAGATTTGTTGAAATGTGACATCAGTAGATATGTTAGGCTAAAGGGGTCAGTAAAGTTCAGAATTAATTAAATGAAGCATAAAATACTTGCATAACAGAAAGGTGACCAAATGAGGGCGCATATGGGCTCTACAGAGAAGATTGGTGTCCGGGAAAGGATTCCGTGGATCTACAGGTTGGGAGAAGAAGTGTATGTGCAGTGGTTCACCATGTGCCATTTCATTGTACCGGAGGGCCTGTGTTTTAGAGAACCTCTCTTGAGTGTTCAGTCTGGGACCACAGACATGTTGTAGATCTACCAGGATCATAAGGACCATTTCAGATCCCCTTACAGTCTTCCGTGTTCCTACCTGCAGCTCTGACTCCAGCAGGATCCACTGTGGAGAGCAATGGGGAGGGGCAAGGAAAATCCTGGGATTTTCATATAAAGTGTAGAAGGCTTTTTAGTACAAGAGTTTATCTTTTGTCACAAGATCTTGTAGTTTCAGAGATGTGTTAATTATTCTGTAATTTAGTTAATGAATAAAACATATCACATCCTAAGATTATTTTACCTGCCTAGTAGCTGAAAGGATAAACTTCAAATTTTTGAAGTTTGTTTTGTTTTGCGTTCATTAAAGTCATGAATTATAACTCTCAAGGTGGGGCAGGCGTTTCCCACATTGAATTGCCAGGGTTTAGTCTCCTGGTTCAGCCTCCTGACCCTAGCTTCCTGCTACTATAGCCCTGGGGAGACTGGGCTGTGAATTTCAGAGTCCCCAACCTGAGAACTATAGCAGATCTTGTAAATAAATTGTAAATAGAATGAAATTGCAGATACAATTTTCAGGGGATGTTCTCTACTTAATTTGTTTTCATGATCTATATGACTATGAAATTTTTGTTTTCACTCTTTTTTAAAAACTGTTCAAGTAGAATGCACCTTAATTTTTAAAATATGTAGTTTAAGTCTCCTTTCAGAGTCAAGTCATTGTTCTGTGTGGATCACTGTAGGGCATTGTTAGGCCTGAGAGCCCGAGGAAGCTCTGCCAATTCCAGAACCTACACAGGGATTTTTCTCTTTGACTGAATCCTTGATGGGAGCTTGTTTTTTCCTTCATCTTTCCCTTTAAAAGGCATTTGGTTAGTTTGATGTTCCAGGTTATTGGTTTCTGGTTAGTTGAGTTATTAATGTATTCTTAACCATGTGAGATTATTTCTATCCACCTCCCAAGTGACAGATATATACGTTTTCATTTTATGATAATACTACAACTAATGAGTGACAGTAATTATAAAGAAAAAGCAAATACTTTCCCCTAAGGGAGCCCACCACTGCTATGTTCATAGGCCGATCTGCCAGCCCCAGTCGTCATGTCCCATTTAAACCCACATGAACCAAGGTTTTGAGTCTGTTCAGAAAAGTAAAGCATTTGGTTCTGGGTTACTTTTATGGTTATCTAAGAAGAAATTAAAAAGCTTTGATTTAAAGGAGTATGCTGTTTAGATGTAATTAAAATTAAAGACCCATTCTTTTTGTATTTTAACATTTCAAAGTAGCACATATTTCTGGTCCTAAAAATTTTACATGTTCATAAAATTTTTTAATATTGAGGACAGAAAATTTTAAATGGCACTGTCTGCTTTTTGGGTACATGATTTTGCCTTTTTCATACAATGTTTGTCACTTCCTTCTTTCTAACAGTCTGATGTTTTCCTCTATCATAGGTATTTCCACTGAGAAGTGCTTCTGAATGTACTTAATTAAAATGTTATAAGACAGGTTATAACACTGGTGAATATCCTTATAAAAGTATACAAAGTATTATTACCTTAAGGCAGGTTCCTGAAACATACTAAATTTTTTAAAAAGATTTATTTATTTATTTATTTGAAAGCCAGAGTTACAGAGCTAGGGAGAGAGACAGAGAGAGAGAGCTTCCATCCACTTGTTCCCTCTCCAGATGTCTGCAAAGGCCAAGGCTGGCCAGACCAAAGCCAGGAGCTTATCCAGGTCTCCCATTTGGGTGCAGGGGCCCAAGCACTTGGGCCATCCTCCGCTTCTTTCCCAGGCATATTAGCAGGGAGCTGGATTAGAAGTGGAGCAAGGGGCTGGCGCCGTGGCTCATTTGGTTAATCCTCCATCTTTCTGTGCTGGCATCCCATATGGACACCGGGTTCTAGTCCCAGTTTATCCTCTTCCAGTCCAGCTCTCTGCTGTGGTTCAGGAGAGGGCAGTGGAGGATGGCCCGAGTACTTGGGCCCTGCACCCGCATGGGAGACCAGGAAGAAGCACCTGGCTCCTGGCTTCAGATCGGCACAGCGCGCCAGCCGTAGCAGCCATTTGGGGAGTAAACCAATGGAGAGAAGACCTTTCTGTCTCTCTCTCTCTCTCTCACTGTCTATAACTACCTGTCAAACACATTAAAAATTTTAAAAAAAAATAAAATAAAATAAAAGTGGAGCAAGCAGCCAAGACTTGAATCAGTGCCCAAATGGGTGCCAGCTCTGTAGGCAGCGGCTTAATCCACTGTACTACAATGGCAGTCCCTTTTACTCTCTATTTGATTTCCATTACCTTCTAGACAGTGTTACGTTTGCAACTGCTATGTCAAGATTTCCTATTTT